CCTCGCGAGGAGTAGTACGCGGGTCGTCGAAGTTGCGTTACGTAGAAGTGTGATTGCGCAACCATCACGTTTATGATGGTTTTTTCGACCTGAGATATCGCTATCGGAAATCTACTCGATTTCCCGCCGCATGTTTCTTCTCCCTGTGCGCGCAATTTTGATTTTAATCGAAGCTATCATTATCCGCGAATACGCGGCTGACGAAAAATTTCACCGGAAGAAACATTTTTCGTACATCGTAGTTACAATCGTGCAAGTGAAAGAATTCCAATCGGGAGGACCATTAATGCTACTATTTTTCGGATTAAAACCAGTGTAAGATATAGTTGAGACCAAAGATGGTTATAATTTTTACGGGACTTCTCTCAGTATGCCTGATACCAAAGTTGGCAACATTGAGAAAATAAAATAAAATCGAGCAATTTGTTGGAAACACTCGTCATTGATACACAAAGAAAAAGATATCTGGCATTTGTAATTATGATCATTGATGACAATCTGTTTGGCTGTCGTATATTTTTTACATATTCTTCTTAATTATAAATTCCGTATTTTTCATATCATTATGTAACCGTAGTTGATGAAATGACATTGTTCGTGATATCAACCGATAAAGCTGAAAAAGAGAAGCATCGTAATACCGAGCAAACTTCTTTGGATCGTTCCGGGTCGCGAAGTGGGTTGAGGGAACATGGTAAAACGCGATATTACCAAGTGGCAACCGACAAAAGGACACCCGATCTCCGTTACAGATGTCATCCTTCGCACACATTCAATCGGGCGCACACGTTTACACACACACACACACACATACACACGTCGTACCTGTGTGCGCAGGTCGGTGGTACCTCGTCGGGGACCTATCGTTCCATGGCGCGAGCAAACACGGCGCCATGTTTGCCGACGTTCGGCAACACTTTATTCTCTCTTCCGATCCAAAGGAGAGAAGAAGGCCCCGAAAGATCTCTCCCGTCGATTGGCTTCCACGCACTCGTACGCATATTTACGCGGGCCCGGCGTGTAACCGACGTACAAAAACACGCGTGTGTGGGTGCGCGTGTGGATACCCGGGTTAGGGTAGGCTAGGGTGGAGGGGAAGCCCTCTCGGTTCTCATCGATGGGCGAAGACGAGGTGGAAATAGCGAGCGAGGGAGCAAATATTGATGGAAGTCGAAAAAATGTTAAAAGCCATCCGACTCGTTATTCGGTCAGCTATATTCCACGAGGACGAAAATTTTCGTCATTCCGATAAGAAAAAAAAGGGGGGGGGGGAAAGAAGAAGGAGAAGCGAGGAAGTAGAAATCGGCCTCCGTCGGCCTCGATTACGTAACGTCGCCGTCTCGACGGATCGCACCGCTAAATTCAAAATTACGTCTCGCGATGCGCGTAATGACACTTCAGCGTCAGTCTTTCGGTTCCGCTCGTCAAGATATTTCCTCTGCGTCTCGTTTTATTCCGCATGCACTTCCCAACCTGCGCTTATTAATTGTTACGGTTCCAATTGTGACGAAGCAAACGTTAATTACGTTATTACGACGAGATAGAACAAAATTGAAACATATATTGTTTATTATCGAGCGATAAAGCAGGAGAATGCTGAGACGGTTGATTGTTAATCGAAATTACCTTCGGAATGAGGGATTTCACGGAAGAAATTGATAAATCCAACAACCCCGGGACGGGGGGACTCGAAATACCGGGCTCGCCGACACGAGCATAATTCGATGAACAATCTCAGCACCTCGGGCTTCGCCTTCGCTTCTCGGGAGAGCTTTAAATTACGGCTCCTATCATGCCCCGGCGCTCCCCTTTCGCAACAACCGGATCGGTTTCCAACTCTAACAACCGCTTGCTCCACCCGGTGGCTTAAAATTCCAGGCTGCAGACGTGAGACTGGCGAAGAAGGTAGGAGGGTTGTTGCACTATCCGACTGCGGATTAAGCTCGCTCGTCGAAGGTAAATGGTAGGAGAGGGGGAAAGAGAGGGGTGGAGGAGAGGGAGGAGAGTGCTATTATGCTCCATTATGAATGGTAACCAGTAGCCAAAGGAGGAAACTCCGCGGGGTGTCGATATATTGCCACCCCTGGAAAACCGGGCGGCCATGCCTCGTAAATAATAACCGGGCATTATAATGCCCGTATGCGGCGCGCGCGCGCAAATTGCCGGGTATATAACGCCGGGCGCGTGTTCCGGCATCGACCTATCGGATATGCGCCTTGTAGAGGCCAGTCGATTATCGGTGTCCCATCGATATCGTGTACCTAAGCCTGCCGGTACACATCGCCGATGTAATTGCCGAAGTAGCCGATTATTACGTAGCGGTATCCGCGAGCGACGAGGATCGACGGACTTGCCTTCAGCCGAAGTCACGCGAAAAACGAGACAGTTCGAGCGAGACCAATTGATCGATTCCGTCGACTTTTCGGTCTCGTTATCCTTAATAATATCATTTGAGAGAAAGAGAGGAGAGTTCTGTGAAAGGCATAATTGTGTTACACTAAAAATGAGGTTTGATTAGTAACGTTTGCTAAAATCGTTCGATGTTAAGGCGTAATTCAGGATTCAGTTTCTGGCATAATTCGTTAGTAAGTGTATGCGCGAATAAAAGCCCAAAGATGAAGGTATTGTTTGTTGAAATAATTAATGAAAGTTTTACATGCAAACATAATACCTCGGTCAGTGTTTAATTTTCTTAAAGTCTGAAATTCCGCGATTACGATTAGTTACAGCGAAACTTGTCGCGTGCCTCAAGCAATCTGTATTCTTCCATTTCCGCTCTCACTTTTAGGCTGTTTTTAGCCGAAATTTATTGTATTTTTATTTATTTCTATCCTAACGTTAGGTATCGCGTGCAGTTCGAAATTAACGGTGTGGAATCGTCTAACGATTGCACGGTGGACAAACGTCCAGGCTCCCACGGGGGAGAGACGTGGGCTTACCGTGTGGGAAACTTGATAATGCTCACCTTTTGCGACTGTATCCGTGCAAATTGAGCGGCAGAATTGACTGCTCGCATTGACCGGGACTAATTTATCGGAAGCGAACAGCGCGTTTCGAAATTGATCGACCGTGAAACGATTTTGGGAATTCGACGGTATCGCGTATCCCGTTTCTTCACCTGCAAACGGCGTCCGTCATCCGATACCTTTTCCTCTGGGTCGCTGTGAAACTTCCATTCAGCCGGAAGACCGTCTTTCGTGAAATCAGTCCTCGCTTTTTATCTCCCGCATCTGAAGAGACACGTGTTCCGGTCTCTCTGTCATAACGAATTACGCTCCCGTTGCGGACGGGCTCGTGGAAAACTCGCGATAAACTTATTCTAGTACGAATTATGAAATTTATATGGAAGATATATTGAGAAAGAAAAAGAGAGAGAGAGAGAGAGAAAATTATATTACTGATTCATTTGAGAATTTGAATGTTCGGATACTTTTAAATGATTCGATGCGTTATAAGAGACAATACGTGGACATTTCTTGCTCGATTTTCGCATTCAAGTACTTAAGTCAGATATTAAAGTTTCTAAATTAGAGTTGCTTGTAACAACTCGTAGCTTCGTAGTTGTCACACATTGAACATTAAATCGCATCTTATCGTTAGTTAATAAAAACTGAATATCAAGAGAATTGCATTGATTGAATTTTGAAAAAAGTTTAGCGGGATGCACAAATTTAATAAAAATTCGAATGGTTCGCTCGGCATGTCTCCTCGCGCGAAGAATTAATTTCGCGGATTCAATGGGGCGCGTACACATACGCACATACACGCATGCACGCGCACACTCACACGAGCGAATGAACGTATGTGGAGTATCAATAGCTTATTTATTGGATGTATCTTCGTTCTATACATTCTTTTTCGAGTAACATGTCATGGTAACTACGTAGAACGATGCTTCCGGTCGCTAGCGGCCCAAAAATCTAGATATCTTGCAGGCGTTATACTTACAGGCAAACACTTATTGTATATTTACGCGCGTTTCCAAACACGTTTAACATATTCCGGCGAAGTCTCGGATTAATGCAAGGTAATTTTAACTAGAATAGCGGGCGTATTTACACAGACTCACCTCCTCCAACCTCCTCCCTCTCCCGTATCCGCTGATATTACGTCGAGAGACCTACACACATATCTGCCTATGATAAAAGTCTTTATCTACACATGTATAAAGTATATTCCGGTGAGACGAATCGGCCCGAGTGATTTTCCCACCGTCCTCCGGCGCTCTTCTTCTCCTCCTCCCTCTCCCTCCTTTCTTCGTTTCGTCCCTTACGATCGCTTTTCCGGCGAAGCCAACACGGGGACATTCCGTCTCGATCCTCCAACGCGGTCTCCATCAATGCGCGGCCTTTTCCTCATTGCCGCTTCGACGTGACGGTACGCGCGAGAAATGCGTTAACTGCGTAGATACTAAAGTGGATTGTCAGACACCCTCATCGACGGTCTTTGACATCTCGGCGCGAACATCCGCCGAGCGTTTCGCGGCGTCTTTCCTTCGGAGACAACGGCTTTGCGTCGACTCCTTTATTGTCTTCATTGGAGCAGCCTCGTCGTGACGTCGTGTTCGGCGGCACGCATCGTCCGCAGGCACCGCAGGTGACGAACGGATACAGCCGGTCGGGATCTCTTTTCGAGTCGGTTGAAACTTGTGCGGAGTGCTGGTTAGTCTCCTCCTCGAGAAAACGGAAGAACTTCTTCCACGATACATTTCGGCATTTGCGACGCCCACAAAGCGTCATGTCCTCTTCTTCTTTTTCTTCCTCGATCACGCCCTCCGGTTGGGTGAAACGTCGTTCACCGGCAACCCGCCGATAGATCCATCCACGATGCTCGGTTTGGGTGTGGAATTTAAGGACGAATATGAACCAAGTCGGAGAGACTGAGGTACTTCTCTATCTCTCTCTCTTTCTCTGTGAACGCATACAGTGTACTCCCATTCTCGTCTACGCAAGCTCCCACGCAAGCTCATCGCTCTCGGGAGACTGAAACTCGTCCGCCGGGAAGGTACGATCAGCTGACGATCGAGCACACACAGCTGGCCTTGCCGTCGCAACCAGTTTCTCGATAGGCGCCGCCGATTTCACCGATGCGTGACCTCTCCACCTTCCCGAGCCGACCGATCGTCGAGACCGATCTCCCTTCGTACGTACGACGAAAGACAGGTCGAGCGAGGATCGTCGTCGTCGTCGTCGTTTCGGGGAACGATCTCTGGCTGACCAGCCGAACTGCACGCACCGAGGGGTCGAGAGTGAGCGGCTACTCCTCGTCGCGTTGCCGTCGCGAACTCGAGGAAACGAGACATCGTCGCCCGTTAGGGCACTACTGAGGGTACGACCAGGCGGCGTGGTGACCTGGGTCAGGTCACTCGGAGTAGCTGGTCTTGTCGCTGGCGTCGTCGGGGCTGGTCTCCCGGTAGGCGTCGCCGGTGCCGTTGGCGTGCAGGCTCTGGTTAGGCGGCTTGATGACCGTGGGCAGGTAACCGGTGCCGGTGTACGGCGCCGCCAGGAAGCGGTGCCGCGTAGACGGTATCGGGGTGGTGCAGTACGCGGCGCGGCTCGCGTACGCCGCCGCAGAGACGGACGCGGCGGAGGCCGCGGCGGCCGACGCCAGGGCGCCCGCCAGCGGCGAGAACGCCGACTTCGGTTGCAGACTGTCCTCGCAGACCAGCACCTCCATGGCGGACACCACGTCGCCTGCGACACACACGGGCAAATTCTCTCGGTCTCTCTTTTTTTCCGTTTTTCTTTTCTTCCTCTCTCTTTCTCTCTCTCGTCCTTCCAGCCGAACGAGCGAGCTTTGAGACAGCGAGTTGAGGGAAGTGACAAAGTGGCGAGGCGCGGGGAAAGACGGGTCTCTGCTGGAGAGCCGTGTGGAGGAGAGAACGCAACGGGATGTGACGCGACACACTGAGAAAAGTGCATGCTAGTATTTCGCGACCGTATAATCGCACGGCAATTCCAGCCGGAGGACTCGTTTTCGCAGCAAGCGCGATTACAACGTTGTTGGTAATAATTTGATAAGCGCGTTTGCTACTTTCTCGTTGAAATAAGAAAAAGTTAGATGACGCTTCGTTGGAACGACAAGAAGATACAAGATGTACGTATAGAGATACCATCGACGCCGGAAATGAGTAATCCGCGGTGAGATCAACCATTTTTCTCTCAGTGTACGAAGGAGATCGGATGTTTCCAACGGGAAGTTTCTGGATTGCGTAGGTGGGATTGTATCGATGCGAAATTAGAGTTTTGCGGGAAACGTCAATAAAGTGAGAATATGTATAAGTAGGAGATGATAAATCATAATAAGCACAGCGTGTTTTTCGAATAAATATCAAACAACCTAGAAGATATTTCACTCCAACCGTGGACGTGCGTATTTCCCTCTTAACGAAGCCTCCTTGGAATACGCGATTCGCCGCGCGCGTAACCTTTCAAACAACCAAATTCCGAGTAACGAAATATAAACATTTCAAGTATCTAAATAAAAAAAAAAAACAAATATCTCTTCCCCACGAATATTCGTATCATGATCTGAAATCGCGAGTAGCGAAAACTTCTTTCGGACAATCGAGAATTCCGATAAAACGGCGCCTGTGCCGCCGGAAGTAGCCTCACGCCAGAAAAAAAGAAAAGAAATCGGTCGTATCAACTTAAAGGAGGAAAATCCCTCGAAATCTTCGGGCGCAGAAGAGCCGGTAGAAAAGAAAAAGGAGAAAGCAAAGGGATAAGATATCCTACCTTTGCAACGATGGAGGAGCGCCTCGACGTCGGCGCGGCGTCTTCCGGGGAACACGCGCAGCAGAACGTCCACCGGCGAGCGTTGCTGCTGCTGCTGCTGCTGTTGCTGCTGCAGCTGCTGCAGCCCGCAGGTCTGCTGGATGTTCTGCATCTGCATCTGCATCTGAATCTCTCGCGGCTCGGGTATGTGGTGATGGTGCTGATGCTGATAGAGCGCCGGCGAGCAATAGAGCGAGCTCGCCGTCGGCCCGTAGAGAGGCGCGTACGGCGGAAAGTGCACTGCCGTCGCCGCGGCCTGCAATCCAGCGAGTGTCTCGTTTGAGAAATATCGCCCGTGTCTATCGTCGACGTATCTGTCGTCCCGCGCCTTCGAGTAAAGGTGAGACTTTTTACTTCTCTTCTCTCTCCGTTGGACGTAACGTCGCGACGGCCGGGGAATGTTATTACTACGAAGGGAACGCGTAATCTCTCGAGCAACGCGAAATAAATTGGTCAAAGAGCTAAGTATCAATGTTCAATACGGCTTCCGAGTCATCGTCGCGTTCTTCATGGATTTGTTCCCGACGTTTCAGTACGCTCGATAATAAAATCATTTATGATAATCATTTAAGTATCCTTTCCAATGCGATCCATGCGTTGGAAATGTATTTTCGACGGAAACGAGACAATTGACCCGCGGCCCGACCCGTCGTGGACGACGTCGACGTTCTGCGACGCTCCCCCCTCCCGAGTAAGATCGAAACTCGCAGGACTCACAGCTAGCGAGGGTAGCGGGGGACTAGGTCTAGGCTGTACCAGATCCACCGGTTGCAGGGTCTGCTGCGTCTGCGGCGGGCTTCCGCTCTTGCGTAGGCTGAGGTTCTCCGGCGCCGGAGTGTCCTCCCGCTGCGGCGTCAGAGCCGGGGTCAGCGGCGGCGTGTGCGTCGGGCTTTGCGAGCCCGGGTCGGGGCTGCCCTCCTCGGAGTCGTTGAGGCTGCTGCTGCGCTTCCTGACCGCCTCCGACTCCGGCATACCCGACGACGTTGATACCACTGTGAGAAAGAAACAGTTTCGACCGTTTCGCCTGATTTGGCGGGAGAATTTCGCGCAGAGAAACTTAACGGCTTAACTCGTGACTTGAGAGAAAGAAAGAGTGGAAGAGAGAGGGGGAGTTGTTGTTGGTTAGGGGAGTTAAGGTTAGGGGACGGTTCTAACGAGGGGTTATTGAAACACTGACGTTAATTGCTGCCCTCAGCATTTATGCATTTGCGCTAAAGTGTAACTAAGGGCTGCTGTTACATGTTTCTTCCTGTTTACCGAGATCTGGACATGCTTTCGCGAACAGTTTAGACGTTGATCGTGAACGTTAATTCTCGCAAAAAAGCCGGAAATAATTAATAAAAACATTTGGGATAATTCTAAATTATTTTTTTGGAATTGTAATAATGACGATCGTACCCAATGAACGATCGGCTCGCAACTCGCCGCCGGAATCGGAATCACGGTCGTCCTCGTTGCCGGTGTCGCTGGTCGACAGGATCGTTGCCGTCGTGTTTTCGGAGATCCTGGATCGCTTCGATCCTGAAACAGACCGCGAAACTTCCATTGAACGAGCGGATACGCAGATAAATACGAAAGAATTATGCGTGTAATATCTCTCTTTACGATACAGTTTTCTGCGCGAAAAATTCCATTTATTGGATTGGAACAAAAGTTCGTAGCGTTTCTCAATAGGTGACGTTTTAACATGTTTGAATTCGTTTCACGCGTGACTGAAATATATGACATATATATACATAATCTGAAAGGTTTCGACGCGTCTTTCCCTGCGATTTGCATGTGGACTTGTGAATTTTACGTGTGTTCATCGTCTAGAAATATGCCAAGTTCTGGAAGAATGGGATTACGAAACTGGCTGAAAAATGGCGAAAAGTAATGGAACAAAATGGCACACATATAAAGTTGAATAACTCTACATCTAAATATCAACGCGAACATTGTTTTCGAATTTTGCATGAAAGACGCTACAAGCCCAATAATAACTCGCGACCGTAATTTCCGTCGCTATCGTAATATTTTGTGGAGCGGGGGAAATGACAACGACCAACGATTGTACCACGAGAATTCCTCCGCGAAATGAAGACATCAATCGACTCTCATGAACTCGACGAGCCGAAAGTAACGCAACAAAAAGTGGCTGGCTCCTCCGGACTGTTGCGAGAACGAGCGTGCGCGCGCGCATTAAAATCCCGTCCCGCGAGTGTGCGATATTATATTGGCCGGTGCTCGAAGGAAACCCACGGGCGAGTGTTTCTCCCTTTCTTCGATCCGATCGAGAAACGCGCGGTGTACCATTTCGAGGTTGTTAGAAATAATTGCAGTGGGCGCGCGCGCGCGCGCACCCACACGTAAGAGTAGCGCACCAGTGCGAAAGCACAGGCACGATCTCGGACGATATCGAAAGTAATACCCGAGGTTTTCGAGGGTGCCGTTATGGCACGCGTGGGCGTGTATGCACGTGCACGACCATTCAGCCCCCGTCGGCGCAATGCGTGAAAGAATCCGGAGCGAACGGCGGTTGCGCGCTTAGGTGGTGGAAGTCTGACCGCTCGTTAAAAAGTTTAACCGTCCATTTATTAGCAAAGGGAGAGAAATAGGGAGAGAGGGAGGACGGGGGGAGAAGGGATTGATAGATCGGGGAAATGTAGCCACGGAGTATGCGGTTTCCGTCTTCACCCTCTCCCTAGCTTCGTCGATCGACTCTCGCGCGTGTACGAGAGCGCCCTTCCCCTTTGCTCTCCTTCGCGCGCGCTGTTTAAGCACGGTCTTTAACGTTCGCTTAAAGCGCAATTTTTCCTCGGTGTATTGCGGTGAATTACGTCGACAGTCGCGCGGTTCGCCGTGCGCGACTTATTGATCGGCGGCGATTATTCGATTCTTCGCGGCCGCGACGTTTCTTTCCTCTCGCGATTTCCCCCCGCGTCCTCCTCGCTGGATATTAAAATCCACCGCGTCCAATTACACCGTTTACACTTGTTCAATGTAAATTACATATTTTTTAATCAATTATATCTCCCTCCAACATATCGTGCAGTTCGGGCTGAAATACTTCCATCCGCATCGAAGAAAACCGAAAGAAACGGACTCCCCCGGTATTTCGTCGCGGGCGACGGAGTCCATAGTCGCGCTTCGGAACGCGCTACACAGTCGCGACGCATCGCGCGCCGGTAGTCGCTAATTAACACCGCGGCGGCCGGTTCATTTTCCAGCGGCGCCGAATAAAAACGCTCGAACGTGCCCGCGGGGACGCCGGCCGGGAAGGGTGGCGAATTCCACAGCGCGGGCTACAGCTATCTCCGTCCCGCGGCGCGGCATCTAGATAATAACATTAATAATTGACATCCGACCGACGTCAAAGGAAAGGAATGCAATATCGAGAGCCGGTGTTAATGTAGCTGCTGAGCGCACCCGGAGGATTCTCTCCAACCCTCGACGCTTCCACGCCGCGCCGCTCGTACACGCGCGTATTTTTGTGTAAGTGTTGCACACGCATACACACACCGACGTGCACGTGTTATCATCCGGTGTGTCCTCCGGGGTTCTGCAGGAATCGCCGGTAGATATTACCGGCATGGACCGTTATTAAAATATCGTTCTCTCTCTTCCTTTCTCTTCCCCTTTCCTCTCTCTCTCTCTCTCTTTCTCTCTTTGCGGACACGACCCTCTCCGTATCAACCCCTCCGGGCTTGTTCTCTCGTCAACGTTCGCGCGCGACGTTGAAATTCATATCCCTATGTAACCTTCATAAAGTCCCGGCGTGCGGCGGCATAACGAAGTGCATATTTGCCGGGTCCTTGAGGGTGTCGAGAGTTAACCGTGCTGCAATTCCCGAATGCATACAGGGTGTCTTAGCGCGCAAAGCGCGTGCGAATATACTGTTGCAATGTCCCGTCGCATCTCGTCCGCGGTCTCGCGATGACTCGGAAGTCGCGAGACGGCGAGATTAACATCGGCGATTCATGACGTGGAATGTTCCGGTGAGTGGGAACGTGGTGGTGACTTGGCCGTGCAAAACGACGGGTCATGCGGGCTTTTCTCGCTTGAGACAAACGATCGGGGGCGATTGGTTCTCACTAGAGATCGTTCAAGTTCCAAGAACACAAGAACGGTCCACTGAAATGTTTACGTTACTTTAACGGGGTGAATATGTTGATTTAACAGATTTTGGTGCTGCGCACTTCTTAACACGTTCCCCGTGTTAAAGTGAGATCAAAATTGCAGCGGGCCATTTTTAACACGAAACTTCTCACCGTGCATTCTTCCTCGAGTATCACGCTCGATTTTAGTTCGGAACGAGAGGATTAATTGCAGGGAGGTCTTTGAAGGATCGATGAGAAAGGCGACGTCCGAGAAAATTGTCCTCAAGAGAACATCGACGTCAGATCCAGCGGGGAAAAATCCGCGAAGGAAAGAATCGCGATTTGTCGCGCCGGGAATTTGAAGGATAATTCGTGTGATTTCTTCGAAGTGCGCGCCCGGTGCTCCCGCGCCATCGAAGAAAGTGCCGGACTAATCAATGGCGGGAAAGGTGAGAAAAACGAGACCATTGTGGAACGTCCTCGCCCTTTGGGCGAGGCGAAGCGACACAGCACAATGGAGAACACAGTATCACGAACGGGAATCTTTTCCTCCCCTCTTCCCCCTCCCCAGATCTCCTTCCCGGTTCGAGAGCTTGTCTTGTATTTCGAGAAGGGTGCGTGTGCAATTTATTGTAATTTCTCCCGTCGGGCACACACGAACGTAAGATCTAACTTCTCTCGGATGTCTCCCGACGCGGGGCGACCGTACATACCTGGCGTGTATTTTGAGACGCGCTTCGGGGAAGTTAATAAAACTCGTTGCGCTGGAGAGGAGAGCAGCAGCAGCAGTGAGGTGAGGCGACGCGAGGCGAGGTATATACGGCGGATATATGTACTCATCCACGACGACTCGGTGGAGAGAAACGTCAACTTAAACCAAATAAACCGAGCGGGACGGACGCGTCGGTAAACGAGCGGGTTGAGTAATGTCATTAGGCGATTCAACCTTTCGACTGAATGACGGTATTAATTTCGTCACACGCGCCTGTCTCCCTTTCGGATATCCATCGTCTGCGACTCTTTGGATTTCAGTGAGAGATGGATTGCAACATTTTTCAACGAATTTCGCAATGCAATAGGAATTTAAATTTCCAACAGGAATCGAATGTTTTTCAATCATATTTTCAGAAGATGAATTAATATCATTATTATTATATCGCAAATTTTTCGATTGGATACCACATACATGTTGAAACTCATTGAGATATGGATGTTGCAAACTTGCATCTACGTATGCGTGCGTGTGTGTGTGCGTGTAGCTACTGTTTCAAAAGGCAAAATATTTTGTTAATAGGCGGTTACCAAGTTATAAAAATATTCAAAGATTATTCGTGCATCTGACGACCTAATAACAGTTAAGATGCCCGACGAAATGTTATTAAGATGCGAGGATTTTCATCTGATTGCAAAATTGTTGAAGGATAAAAAATATCGAGACCGATCAAACCTGACTGAGATCGAGAGTAGCTACGGACTACGCGCTGGAAGTAGGCGCGTGTCGATCGATCTTTTGAAGTTTCAATCACCGCTGATGTCTCGGAGATCGAGGGGGGTTCTTTTCAACGTGCGACAACCTCGGACAAGCCGGCCATAAGCTACTCTACTCTTACAAGCACGGTCATTCGATATCGGCGATCACAGCCGTCACGGACACTCCCTCCGGCGGGCCGCGCGCATTCTTCCGGTGGCGCGGCCGACGTTGGCGGCGGCGATTAATTAGAGACGCGCACGGCCGATGTTGTACGTACGCACACGGGGACCTCCTCACTTGACCGATCATGACAAGACGCACTCGAAGCAGATACACGCGCGCACAATCCGACGGCGGCGGCGGATGTTGTTGTAGGTCTACGCCCTAACCTGCGGCGGCGGCGTGGCGTATCAGCGCGCACGGTGGAGACAGACGCGGACAATGGAATCATGCGAGGACAATACCGAATAATTTAGAATGGCACATAGATATCGGGAGGCTCCGGCCTACGGCGGCGGCGCATAATAGAGAATAGGAGTAATAGGACACAGCCCGCGGGGCAACTGTGGAGGACACGAAACATCCCTATAAATTAGGCTTAGGCGAAACGAGCCTAACCGCGCGCTCGCTCGCTCGCTCGCTTGCTCGGGACGCTCCTCTCGATACACAACCTCCTTCTTGCCCCCCTTTTCGCATAATAGTGAGAGGGTAAAGACGGCGATTTAAGATTCGGCGGGGATGTCCTCCGGTATCGATGCACTCGAAGCCGTGCTGCCTGCGGAACAAATCAATGACGCGTCGTACTTTGTGATTATTCTGTCATCTGCGTCGAAAAAAGTGCTAGATTCCAGTAAATAATTACTCCAACACTCCTTGGCAAATTTTTACTCGGATTGAGTAAATTTTCGTCGTTCTAAGTGAGACCTCGCGCTCTAAGAAGTTCAGAGAGTAAGCTGCGCGCATGGCTGTCC